AAAGTTACAAAAGCAAATGTTACCCATTCGGTGGAATGTCCCTTGTAATGTAAATATTTTTTAACACGATTGTATATATTACATTATTTTGTCAATTATTGTTTTACATTATTGTTATTATTTATTTATTTGGTATGTGGTTTGGTAGCCTAAAAAACAACTTGAACTGAAACTTGGTATGCAAATTATTGCCCTCTGAAGTATACTTAAAGGGGTCATATGATGCGATTTCAATTTTTCCTTTCTCTTTGGAGTGTTACAAGCTCTTGGTGCATAATGAATCTGTAAAGTTGCAAAGACTAAAGTCTCAAATCCAAAGAGATATTCTTTATAAAAGTTAAGAGTCAACCACGCCTACCTAAAACGTCTCATTCTGACACACCCCCACATGTCTACGTCACGATGTGGGAAGATTGCATAACGCCGCCCAAATGTTCACGCAAAGAAAGAAGGCATAACTTTTATTCTCGCTGTAGTATTGTTGTTGCCGCGGCCGCCATGTCGTGAAGACGCTGTGTGTTTCCTTGTGAAAGCGAAACTACATTGTTTAGAAACCATTGTTTAGTTGCAGCAGATGCCAATCAAACAAAGAGCCAGACACTAGGGCATTGCAGTACGTTTGTCTTTTACTCCCTCCCTTCTACTCCAGTCTCTCACATTTACATACATTCGCATACCGCCACCTAGTGGCTATACATATTCAATTCCTATCACAACATCCCCCTCTTTTTCTTGTAAACAATTTCTCTACCACTATTCATAAAGCATCAAAGCATCAAACATACATATTATACAAATCTCTTTTTTTTTCACATTTTCCTCGTTTTTTTTTCACAATTATTTTCTTTCACATTTTCTTTTTTCACACATTTTTTCTTTCCACACTTCACCTTTCCTTTTTTAAAAGTCAAATTTTCTCCATTTTCCCAGTCCAAGATTCAAGTCCATTTTTCTCTTTCTTTCAACTTCGTCCTCACAAATTCAACTTAATAGGAGGACGAGAAACTCTTCCACAACGAGTAACAGTCTCTCCTTCTCGATGTTGAACCAATACATGTTTCTCTTGAGGCATTTCAGTTTTAGAACTTGATTCAGGCAATGCAATTAAGTGAGATCTGTTACGACGATAACATCCTTGGTCAGTCTTCACAACATAAGATCTTGGTGTTTGTGATGGAACTTGAACTATGCCAGTTGTTTGAGCTGTTCTTATCCAGACCCTTCTGTCCTGAATTCAACACAGGTACAATTTTTACCCTGTGTCTTGTGTCAAACCTACACTTTTGTTGCCTTTTCAAGTGTGCATCTTTTTTTCTGAAGTCTCTTAGATTAGGCCATTTGGGAGCAAATTTTTCAGGTACAGTTGGAAGAGTAGTTCTAATCTGTCTACCCATTAAAAGTTGAGCTGGGCTTAAACCTTGAGCCAAAGGAGTAGCTCGGTATGCCAGTAAAGCTTTCTGGGGATCTTTATTTTTACTCAATAGTTGCTTAACTGTACGGACAGCACGCTCAGCTTCACCATTTTACTCTGTGGATATTTGGGACTACTTGTCAGATGTTGAAATCCATAATCCTGAGCAAAGTTTGCAAATTCGGTTGAAGCAAATTGAGGTCCATTGTCCGTAAAAAGTACTTCTGGCACTCCAATCTTCCGATGTCACCATTTTAAAAGGTGCCCGAGAAAGTCCGCTGTAACCAACTGTTTCCCTGGAACATATTCAATGGAGTAATCGAATCTGAGAAGTCTCAAACGAAAATGCAGAATTCTGGGAGGAATATCATCCAATACTCTGGATCCTAGTAGAGAAATCAATGGTTTATGGTCAGTTTCGATAGCAAATCTCAGTCCCAGCAAGTATGAACTAAGTCTATCACATGCCCATGTCACGGCCAATGCCTCTTTTTCAATCTGGGCATATCTTGATTCTGCAGATGTCAAACTTCTTGATATATAAACAACTGGTCTCCACTTTCCATCATCTTGTTCTTGCATTAAGACTGCTCCAAGACCATATGAAGAAGCATCTGCAGACACCAACGTTTTTTGATTTGGGGTATATTGTGCAAGAATTGGAGGGGAACTAAGCTCCCTTTTGACTCTTTCAAAGGCGTCCCTCTGTACAGTGCCCCAGATCCACATCGAATCATTCTTTAAAAGCTCTCTCAAAGGTTGTGTGAGGGTTTGCATATGCGGGAGAAATTTACTCAGAAAATGTACCATCCCCATAAAGCGCCGCACATCATCTTTGTTCTCAGGTTCTGGTAGGTTGATAACAGCATGGATTTTTTCAGGGTCAGGTTCTATTCCTTTTTCACTTACAATATGACCCAAGAATTTAACTTTTGGCACACCGAAGACACATTTTTCATTGAGAGTCAAACCAGTTTTCTCAAACTTCTTTAACACCTCTATCAACCTTTCCTCATGTTCCTTCTTGTTTTCCCCAAACACAAGTATATCATCTGCATTACAGACTGTCCCAGGAATTCCTGCAATCATCTGAGAAATTCTCAACTGAAAATGTTCTGGAGCTGAGGAAATCCCAAAGGGAAGACGTTGAAAACAATAACGTCCAAATGGGGTGATAAAGGTAGTCAAAGGCTCAGATTCTTTGTGTAAAGGGATTTGCCAAAAGCCAGATGTAGCATCTAACTTTGAGAAAATGGAAGCACCTTTCAGCTGTGCTAATGTGTCATCGACAGCTGGAAGTATATGTCTCTCACGACAAACACTCTCATTTAACTTTGGCTTTGGAACCACCAGTCAATCGGTTCTTCTATCCTTCGGATCACTCCTTCTGACTCCATTCTTTGCAATTCTGCTCTCACTTTTTCCAGCAACGGTAATGGCACACGTCGCGGCACAGAGAGGGCATAGGGTCGAGCTCCATCTGCCAATTTGATCTTATAACTTCCTTGTAACTGCCCAAGTCCTGTAAAAACACTGGGAAACATATCTTTATATTGGAAGCCAGCATCTTGCACTTCGGCAACTTGTTGTATTAGCTGAAGCTCTTGAATAGCTGGAAGACCCAATAATGGCATGACTAGATCTAATATAACGTACACTTCTTGTTTTATTTTATTTCCCCCTTTTTTAATTTCTGCCTCAAATGTGCCTAAGACTTTCAGTGGAGATTTGTTAGGACCACAAATTCTTTTTTTCGACACTTTAAGTAATCCATCTCTACTTTCAGAGTAAACAGATTCAGGAATAGCTGACACTGCTGCTCCAGTATCGAGTTTAAAAGACATGGCTTATTTATTAAATTCCAACTCTTGAATCCAGAACTCTGCTTTTTGGTCTGTGTTTATTTCTCCCATGAATACAACTTCCTCCTCTGGCAAATCTCCTTCCACAATAGTCTCGACTCTCTTTCCGGTTCGACACATCGATGCGAAATGTCCCTTTTTTTTACATTGCCTACATTCAGCCTCTTTAGCTGGGCAAAATTTCCATGAATGAGCTTCCCTTCCACATCTTTTACAAACATTTTGAGGCATTTTCTGTGTCACCCACTTAGACGTTTTTTTTCTGTGTCACCCACTTAGACGATTCTGCCATTACAGAATCCACATTGAAAGATCTTTGCTCAGAAGTTTCAATTTGCCTTATCAACGGTTGCTGTTTTTTCACTTCCTCTTGTTGTCTGACTTGTGTTATCGTTTTTGCCAAAGTTAATTCTGGATCCAATTGCAATCTTTCAGACAATTTGGAATCTCTGATGCCAACAACAATTCGATCTCGGATCATTTCCTCTTCTAATGCTCCGTATTTACAATGTTGTGCCAATTTATGCACATCAGTAATAAAACTTTCCGCTGACTCTCCCGGCTGCTGACATCGGCTATTAAACTTTGCCCGTTCATAGATGACATTATACTTGCCGATAAAATGACTCTCAAATGCCGCTTTTACAGTTTCATATTCTTTTTGTTGCCGCTCCGACAAGGCTAAAGTGTTCAGGACATCGTCACTCTTCTCTCCCATAATATAAAGTAACGAGTTTACCTGGTAAACTTCTTCTTTGCCGGCGAGGCCCGAGGGCAGTCTGAACCTTTCGAAGCGTCTTATCCATTGCGCCCATTAATTCGGTTCATCAAAATTAAAGTTCCCCGGAGCAGTCAGAGAAAATACTTGATCCATTGTCACCACTTCTGACACCATGTAGAAACCATTGTTTAGTTGCAGCAGATGCCAATCAAACAAAGAGTCAGACAGGAGAGCATTGCAGTAAGTTTGTCTTTTACTCCCTCCCTTCTACTCCAGTCTCTCACATTTACATACATTCGCATACCGCCATCTAGTGGCTATACATATTCAATTCCTATCACAACAGTTTGGCCTTCCAAAAGAGGACACATTTGAATGAAACCAAACACACAAACCAGTTAATCAAGGTTCTCTAAGGTAATCTGCAAATCTTTAAGATGAAAAAATTTATGTAAAATATATAACAGGTTAAGCAACCCTGCAAAAACATGATTGTAAGCCTGTTTTGTTAAAATTTATATAAATGGCAATGTCACTCCTTCAACACGTTCAAATATATAATTTTATAATAGATATATGCTTCATCCATGTGTTATACATTTACTCCCATTACTGTTAAAGACAATATAACAAGGTTAATGACTATGCCATGTTATCAAAGTGTAGTTAGAAACCTTTAAAAAAACAACTACAGAAATACAGAAACTATTTAAAAAACCCTCTACACCATCTACTTCAAATTTTTGTTACTTCAGAGTGAGATCAGTCAGTTGTGTAAGGCTTTTTCATAACCATCAGAAGTTTATGCAAAGAAAAAAATGGTTGACAACCAATGTATGCCTGTATTTGAATGTCACACTCAGCACGTAGTCGTACAACCTGCACACTTATAAAACCAATCCCAGCTGTGTAGTTTGTGTTATTCAGTCCTCAGGGTGTTACGGTAACTTCCTTCTCTCTTCAGCGCTTGTTTTCAGACTCTGGAATTGGTTTTAGACGTAGGTAAGATACAAGTTTTGTGTCTTTATGTTTTGTTTACTTATTACTAATAATGCATATGTGAGGGTGCTTCTGTTTTGAGCTGATATATATTTTCAGACAACAGCAAGCAAAACATTCTCTTTTCATATTTCAACTGCTCACAATGGGAGGTCACAGCATTGCCCGTTTAGCACTCATAGTCCTTTCTGTTGTCATATTCATCATCTGCATCATATTCAATGCACTTGCTGGACCGGGAATTGGTATGTACAGCAGATAAATGTAATACGGTTTCCAGTGTGAATTAGGTGCAGAATTAAATTTTGGTTAAATATATTGCTACAGTGTTGTTTTTTCCTCTTCGTAGGTCCTTTTCGGAACAACACTGGATCAATATCAGATAAATACAATACAGAAATCACTCCCTCGGGATGGACCTTCTCAATCTGGGGTGTCATCTACACCTGGCTGTCGCTCATGCATATTTACATCCTCTCCACTACCTGCAGGAGTTATGAACTCAGTGAGCTAGAATCAAATGGCAATCAAAAAATAAAGTGGTATGAAATGTGATTTTGTAATAATAACATGCTGCAGTTAATGAGACGTTTATGTATATTGTTCTCACAGAACTGTTTATGGTCCAATGTACTGTCCCGCTGTGTTGCCGTATGGATTCTTCATAACCTGGATTGTAAACATGACACTGAATATAGGCTGGCTTCTCCTGTGGGACAGAGAGTAAGTCTATGTCATTTTAAAGACAATTCTGATATACAGTAGCAGCCAAAAATTTGTAGTAATAAAGATTTTTAAATGTTATTGGTTTCTTATGGCTGCATTTATTTTATGAAAAACAGTAATATTGTGCAATATTATTACAATTTTAAATAACTATTTTAAATTTTAGTGTATTTTAAAATATTATTTATTCCTGTGATGGCAAAGCTGAATTATCAGCTGCCCATTACTGCCGTCTTCAGTGTCACATGATCTTTCAGAAATCATTCTAATGTGCTGTTTAAGAAACATTTATTTTTTTTATCAACGTTTTAGCTTTTTTTGCTGTTATTTTAAAATATAAATAAATAATAAATAAATAAATGCTGTTTCTGTTCATCAAAGATTATGGTTTTATTACCGTTTCCACAAAAAGCAATAATAATGTTGATAATAAGAAATGATTCAGCAATATAGAATCATTTCTGAAAGATATAAATATAATAAAATAGATATAATATAGATATAATATATAAAATATTATATAGAAAACAGCTATTTTAAGTAGTAATATTTCACAATATTAGTGTTTTCAAAAACTTTTGGCTGCCAGTGTATATTGAAGTAATAGAACTGAAATAGATTTTCAATTTTAAAAAGATTTTTAAAATACTTATCTCTCTCATTATTATTGACTGTTTGCAAAATCCTTATAAACTTTGCATTTCTTTAAAGGGTGATGATTGCTTCATTCATTTTCCTTGCCTTGATTGCATTTACAAACTATTTGTTGATAATCTTCTCCTGTCATGGACTCAAACAATATGGAGCCTGGTTAAACAAATATCACAAAGTAGACCTCTGGTGCATTCGGATATTGGTGAGAGACCATTAAAATTTTACTTAATAGGATCTCAACCCATTTTAAAAACATTATGCATTTTTAATTTTGCATCTTCAATCTTGCAGGTTCAGAATGGAATTGCAACATACACAACATGGACAACTATTGCCACTCTGATTAACTTCACTGTTGTGCTGAGTTATGATGCTGGAATGACCCAGTCAGATGCAGCGACAGTCTCTCTCTCTGTTCTTTTGGGTGAAGCTATTTCTTGGTGAGACCATCGAACTCAAATAAATTTAGGATGTTAAATAAATTAAAGACATTAATCTTGAAATAATGCATTATTATTTTACAGGTTTTTTGTGTTTGAAAAGCACCTGCGATACATTCTGACAGTCTATCCTGTTGTCATTGTGGCTTTGAGTGGAAACATGACAAAGAACTTTAACTCTGCAGATCCAAGCCGCAACGGCATTTACATAGGTGAGCCTGAATGTCATACTGGTTTTGCTGTTGTGTTCTTAATCTGTAGTGCCAGCATTTCATGAAAACAATATTTTGTTGTATTCCACAGCTGCTTTACTGGGGTTGGCTTGTACACTATTTGCGATCAAAGTATTGCTGGTTATATGGAGGCATATTAAACATCCTCTCTACAAAGGCATGAATATAGAGGAGGTTATATCACCGATGGAAATCGCTGAAAAGCAGAAGAAGATCTTCAGTTAAACTGAAGTTTAATCATCCTTTTATAATGCTATTTATATTTGTAATTGTTTAAATATGTAAATTGTTTATATGTCCTTTTGATAAATGATGAAGTAAAAAATAAAATGCAAAGCTTGTGTAATTGAGTTACACAAACTGAATTGCTCTTATCAGGGCAGGGGGTGTCCATGACCATGATCTATGCACTGTTATGTGCCATTTTTCTGCAGCAATAAAATCATAAAACTCACTAGGGTTTAACGTTTTAGTAAAGTTTTAGTGGGGAAGTTAAGATGGCTGATGGCTTGAACCCAACTTGGGGTGTTTGAAGATAGAATTATGATCACAATCCCATTATGTCAAAATGTCAATCAAATGAATGAGCAGTGTATTGATTTGTATAAAACCATTTGCAGTATATTGTGGTTTAAAATTATGATGAATAAAAAAAACGTGTCTTCATTTTATTAAATGAAAGTTATAAATTTTTTAATAAAATTAAACTGCATTGGATACAAAAGGAAAATTAATATTTGTAATAATTGTAAGAAATGTAAACATTTATTTAAAATGTAGTCTATATATATCTTAGTCAAGTTACTATCATTGTTATTTTAGTATCATTGAGATGTTTATTAATATTTTTAATATATATATTTTTTTATATGTTCGTTTTAGTAATTTAGTTTTAGTAATTTTGTTGTTTTTGCCATTTTAGATTTTCATTTAAATTTAAATTTTATTTATTTTAGTACATCAAGTTAAATTCAATTAAAATAAGAGATTTTTTATTAAAGTCTATTTATTTTAAGTAACATTTTTTTAAATATTTTTTTTATAATTAATTTATTTATATATATATATATTTTTTTATAGTTTTATTTGATTTTTTTATCATTTAATTAAATTAAAAAAAATATATATAATTTTAAGGTATCCCCTTGTTAGGTTTATTGATTTCCCCTGGTGGGCTTTATCCTAGTTGACGTTTACTGCTGTAGTGTGGCTGTTAGTGAAGCCCCCCGTAGCACTAGGTGGCAGCATTTCATTGTGCGTCTTTCTCCCGCACAGGAACAAAAATGAGCGGGAGAATTTGTGTTGTTGTTGTGGGCCAAATACAGTGACGGACTCTATGAAAGATATTAATGTTTTCTGTGAGATATTAACATTTTAATACTTAATTTTGCTATTGTTTTGAAAGTAAAACTGATCGCAAACGCAAAGTTCACACCAAGACTTTCAAACTGCCTAAACAAAGAAGAGTGTAACGTAAGCGGTGAATTGCGGTCAGCTAACAGTTACCAGTCACGGGAATGTTGGGTTTGAAACAGAGAACCGGACTATCTGTGGGTTTATGAGCTTCACTGGCGGACACACATTTTCTTTAACCAGGGCTGGACACGATGTCCCAGGTCAGTAGTTATGGGTGTAACTTACGTGAAGAACAAAACCACAGTTGCATGTTGCCACCGTTTGTGGCGTAGCGAGTCGGACAGTGGCTGCGCTCAAAACCTAGTGAGCTCCCTACCTAGACAGCATTTTTAGGCATCATAGGCGCTCAAAATTCTCGCTGAATAGTCAGCTCACTGTGTTTTGAGACACCGCTAACTAGTGTTTACGTAACGAAAGTAGAAGTGAAGTGACAGTTCAGTCAGGCAGCATCACATTGTTTGTAACATTAACATAAACGTATTGTGATTTCTATTACATAAATGTGATGTTCTTATGAACTTTCTATTCATCAAGGAATCCTGAAAAAATGTGTCACGCGTTTCCCAAAAAATATTTAGCAGCAGAACTGTTTTAACATTAATAATAATATGAAATGTTTCTTGAGCATCAAATCAGATTAGAATGATTTCTGAAAGGTCATGCAACTCTGAGGACTGGAGTAATGATGCTGAAGATTCAGGAATAAATCATCACAGGAATAAATTACATTTGACAATATATTAAAATAGAAAAACAGTTATTTGAAATTGTAATAATATCTTGCAATATTACAGTTTTACTGCATTTTTGTTCAAACAAATGCAGTGGGAACATAAGAGATTTTCAGAAAGAAAAAGCTTACCAAACTGTAGTAGATAGATAGATAGATAGATAGATATGATTGTGTGTGTGTGTGTGTGTGTATTTGTGAATTATGTGATACATGTTTATGAGTTTTATATATTTTATATGTGTGCTATTTTTTCATGTATTTTTTATTCTTCAAATGAACTTGTGAAGTTTTAATCAATTATTTCAGGTCAAAGCCAAAAAGAAACTACATTATTATCAAGGACATGAAATGTAAGTAATGTTCCACTTTCAAAACAACCTATTGTATTGGTTAATATCTCTTAACTAGCTCAAGTTAGAGTAATTTAATCATGTGTTGCTGCTGATTTTCAGAGTCAATTCTGAATTCAAGATCGATAATGTTTTGACCCTGCATGACATTGACAATCTCTTCGATGATATTGGTAATTCAATTCTTACATTCATCTCATTGCTTAAAACATCCATTTCATTGTCACCTTTTCATGCCATTCATTGTGTGCAACCATATCCCATGTTGTTGTTATTGATAGATGCTGACTCTGAGCTGGGTTTGCCTCTGCTTTCTCCCTTGCCCAAAAGCACTGGTGTGAATAGTCAGAAGAAAAGTGGAAGTTCTTCTGATCCAGAAAAGATGAAGGCATCATCTAAACAGGTACACATGGAGTGAAACATTAGAAATCAGTCTGTTCTTTCTTAGTTCCGCAATGTGATGTTAATTGTTAATCAGATGACTCTGATTGTCAGCTGCCCAAGGATGCTTTAATCCAAGAAAATGGCATTCAAGAGGATGAAATGATTGATAAAGGTGAACCTACATCACAGTCTTTATATCAGTTGTATTCTGTATAATTACCAGCTATTATTGCACATTTTCTTTTAAAGAAAACTTAGTATTTGATTAAAACTATACAAAATACATTACTAAATGCAAAAATTAAATTGTAATTTAAAATGCTATATGCAAATATATAATTATACAATTAAATGAAGTAAATGTTTTATTTGTATCAGCAAGGCAAGTATAAATCTGAACTACTCGCCCGACCATGAAAGCAGAAAAAAAAAACTTTACTTTTGAGTAGGGCTGGGCGGTATATCGAGTTTGTATGATATATCGATAAGAATTTGTATCAGCAAGGCAAGTATAAATCTGAACTACTCGTCCGACCATGAAAGCAGAAAAAAAAAACCTTTACTTTTGAGTAGGGCTGGGCGGTATATCGAGTTTGTACGATATATCGATATATTTTTAATAGGCGATATGGCATGAGGCAATACCGCCCATATCGATATACAGTAGTTTGATACGAGCGCATCTAAATCAGTAATGGAGCAATCAAAAATAAAATGCCATTAATCTGTGCTCTTGTTTATTTGCTTTAATTTTTAGTATAGTGAATTGAACTTCTGCCTTAAAAAGCATTATTTTTGTTTTTAGATTGTAATGTTACAATGTTACAGCGTTGTTTTAGCCCCTTTTTTGCACTTAATGGATAGCATAGCCTGCTTTCACTACATTTGTCTTCATTGCCTTTAATATAAACATTGTTTTATTAGACAAAATTGGGCAGGATGTTTAAAAAAATAAAAAATTATATATATATAAATGGAAAAAATCCAAATAGAAAATGTAGAGAATACCGAGATATATACCGTATATCGCATTTCAGCCCAAAAATTCAGAGATATGAGTTTTTGACCATGTCGCCCAGCCCTACTTTTGAGTAGGGATGCACGAAATTGGATTTTTGCCGATTTCCAATAAGCCAATATTTTTCAACTCATTTTGGCTAGGGCTGCACGATAAATCGCATGCGATATTTAACGCGCGTCTTGTCAGAAAGCCGGTTCTGTAATCAGCGGTAAATCTCCGTTAAACATCGCATGCGATTTATCGTGCAGCCCTAATTTTGGCCGATAGCCGATTCTGAAACCGATATATAATTCCTTTTGTTTGGAAACAAGAAGTCTCTCCTGTACAGAGATTACAAACAAATTATTTTAAATTTTGGTTATTTTTAACAAAAACTTACTTGTTAGGATTAAATAAACAATAATGAAGTTCTCTTGAAATGAAAGCTGAAAATAACTATAAATCAACTATAAATCAATCACTGCATTTTTTCCAGACAGATGCAGTGGTAACCTTAACATTTTAATTGAAGATTTAACATTTGTAAAAATTAATTACATTAAAATTATTTAATTTACAAGTATCATTGTTTGTGATTTTTATTCATGTAAGCTATAGCTTCTGACCTTTAAATCAAAACATACTTGTGATTAATCTTAATCTTAGTTATTTGTGTATTTTACTTTCATTTTATTACAAGTAGGCCAACAGCGCCCCCTAAATATACATGTTTACATTTTAAAGGGGTGGTTGATTGTGATTTCACTTTTTTAATGTTAGTTAGTGTGTAATGTTGCTGTTTGATCATAAACAATATCTGCAAAGTTACGAAGCTGAAAGTTCAATGCAAACGGAGATATCGTCTTTTAAAATTCTGGCAGTTTAATGCCTACAAAAACGACTGGTAAGGGACTAACGACGTCATTGTTTACAATACAACCGGAGCACATGCCGCTATGTTGAGGGGCGGGACATTTAGATGCGTGCTAGAGGCGGTTTAGCCAATCACAACACACTGGGCCAGCTAATCAATCAGAGCCCATCGTGTATTTCTGAGGGAGCGGCTTCATAAAAGCAGGAAATTATCAGCGCGTTCAGAGGAGAAGGGACAGAGCGGTGTGGAATAAAGGTAAATTATGTGAAAAATAATGAGTTTTTTAACAAACGAAGCATTAACACATGTTAGACTGCACCCCATAAACACAATCAAGCCTATAAAAAAACCAGTCAACCACCCCTTTAAGCCATTATCGGCAGATTCCAATTATGTTCTGATAATATTGTGCATCCCTACTTTTGAGCCCTGTAGTAGAGCTAATTATTCAGCATATCTCATCACCTG